CTCCTTCTCTGCATCTGTGTGCTGTCCATCCGCCCACCACCCAGCCTCAACCGCCCATCACCATCTGTCCGCCCACCCGCCCTCTATTGAATGAAGTCAGGAATGGCACAGAAGGATTTAACAACTGCTTCCCTCACACTTGTCCCCTGTCAGTGCCCCTCCTACGGCCATTCTAGTTCACAGCCCTCACCCTGCACTCAGGGGGGTGTGCTGTGACCCCCTTGCTTCCGGGTTGGGTCTGTTCAGTGACTGGAACTCGCCAGGCCGTCCCACAAGGGAGCTGACTCTGCAGCCGGCCCCCAGCCCCCAGAGCTGTTGTGGGGCTCCTGCGCCTGGACCAGGAGAGTGTGCGGCAGCTCCCAGGAAGCCCAGCCTGCCGGTGACAGCTGTTTCCGCAGCACGAGCAGGAACCCGAGACAGGCGACAGGCACAATAAAAGTGTGACTCGACTGAGCCACACTGGAGATGAAACAGGGATCAGCGTGGACTCGCAGCTCATATGACGAGGAAGCCCAGCCATCGGGTCCAGTGGGCAGAGCCGACTGTGGGCCGTGGGGGAGTGGCCCCCATTTTGGTGCCGGCAGGCGGGGGTGAGACGTGTGGGAGCCTTGCCAGGCCTCCTGCGGAGTCCACAGGGGCACGTTCCACACACCCGCACAGGCACAGGTGCACATGCGTGGCCGGCTCCCGAGGCACCGCTGAGGTGGCCTGCGTGACTCAAGCTGAAGCCAGCTGTCAGGGGGCGGCCAGGTGAGGACCCATCACCTGTTTCCCTTTCCAGGGCTGGAGAGGGATCCGTGAGTCGTCTTCGGCTGGGGGCCGGTCTTCGATGACCACAGACTCCGTTTCTAAAACTGAGCTTCTAAGTCAGGCACCTGGAGAGGAAGACTTTTGGGTTCAGGGCTTAGCTCCAGGGACCAACCTGGACAACAACCAGATGATGATTACCAAGCAAAGCTTGTTCTCCTTGTCTTCTCCAGCGGACAGGTCAAGGTCAAACTGAAACTGAAAAATCAGAACACCAAGCCAGGAGGTAAATTCAGGGACGACGGCCACGCCAGTGAGGGGAGGTGGGGAGGCGGGCTTTACGCCTGGCCAGGGGTCCATGGGGAGCGAGGCAAGGAAGGCGCCCAACATGCTACGAAGTGTTTGGGCCTAGGAATAACATCTGGGCACTCCTCGGGTAAAGCGGATCATTTACGAACATTTATTGGTCAAGTTCATTTCCCCAAAGTGCCTGTAGGTCCCAGCTGAAAATCTCGGAGGTCGCGGCAGCCACAAGCCCGTGAGGTGCTGGTGGATTTTTCATTCTTCCCGTCTCTGCTGGTGCAATTGCTGGACCCTCTGCTTCTGCAGGTGGGGCTGCCCCTCTGGACACGAGGCAGCAACAGTCTTGTCCTTTTCCAGGGAGGGGCAGTGGGAAGGCCCAGGCAGCTCAACTTCTCCGTGAGCCCGTGAACCTGCGGACTAAGGCCACCTGTCCCAACTGCTCACCTGTCCCAGGGAGGGTGTGAGCTCCTCCCAGCTTGAGTCACGGGTCCAGGGAGGGACCGGCTGGGTCCTGGGCCCAGGCCCAGTAAGCCCGCAGCCAGCATCTGCGTCGTCGTCAGCTGAGCCCCACACCCACCCCCAGCGCTGCTACAAAACTAACAGAGCAAAACGAAATCTCCCACAAAACCTGAGTGAAGGACGAAAAGCCTGAGAGTGAGAATATAAAGGAAATGGCCACGTTTCTGCCCTCTGAACACAGACGCCCCAAAGAACCACACCGAGACCAGAGGATTTCCCAGGAAAATGGTGTATTTGTAAAAGAAAACAAATTTATAATTCAAAACTCAATTTACCTTTGAATTATTTGAATGATTGGGAAGTTTCTAGATAATTTTCCCTTATTTATCCCTCAAACTTTTCCCATCTGGAGGTTTCTGTGGGAGGCTGTGACCTAGTTCCTCTGGGTGGTCTTAGGTTCTAACAAGAGCTAAGGTCCTAGTTGAAGAATTAGGTCCTATTTCAACAGATTTGAATTTTTCTTGATGCAGCAAATAGGAAAAATGAGGAAGAACTGTGTTGTGTTATGCATGTAACTAAAAGACCCACCAGTTACAAAAGAGATGGAATGACTCCTGTCATTTCGATGTGTAAATAAATCCCTCCGTGGGACATGTCAAAGTCAGGTACATTTTAAGTGACGAGGAAAATATACACGTGGAATCAGTGGGTACGCCATGCACTGGATGGAGAGGGAAGGAAATGACTCACGTCTCCGCAGAGATTCTAGTTTGTAGGATCTTACTATAATTTAAGAATGCGTGTCTCATGCCAACTCAGGAAGTATTGGGGGCCGGTCACAAAATTCCTACGCTCACAGAGCGCCCCACATGGAGTTGCTGTCGGCAGAACCTTTATCTCCATGCAAGTCCCACGCAGGGAGGGTGTCACCGAGCGCCTGGTCCCCATGCCCCTGGGCATGGCCAGTGGCCCCCACTCTCATGCAGTGATGCTGAGAACTTTGGATGTAACAGTACAGATGCACCTACGTCAACGACACCTTTCCTGTGTCACCGATGCGGCTTCTCCCACTGGGTTAGTCCTGGGAGGCACCAGGCGCGGCCGAACGTGGGGAACTACGGCAGCCTGGTCCCCAGACACACTGAGACGGCTGGTTCGGTTAGACCAAACCAGGCAGACGGTCACCAAGGAGGGCAGGAAAGCCAGCGTCAGCAGCTCAGGTTCCCCAACACCGAAATGAACAATAAGAAACAACAATCACCCTGCCCACTCAGTGGACTGAGTGTTGGTCTGGGAACTAAAGTCTTGCCAGTTCGATTCCCAGTCAGGGCACATGCCTGGGTTGCAAGCCAGGTCCCCAGTAGGAGGTGCTCCAGAGGCAAGCACAGTGATGTTTCTCTCCTTTCCCCTCTCTAAAAATAAATAAGTAAAATCTTTGAAACAATTAAAAAAAAATAACCACTGCTTCACACTGTGAACTCTCTGGAGCATGTATCCCTCACCTTAACAAGAAGCCGTGTTACACGTATGTATATGATGCCCGTGACTCAAGCGGGTCCCTTTACATGACTCTTTTTTGACAGAACACGCAGTAAGCATAATGTTTACAGAGCTTGATTTTATTTTACTTAATATAGTTGCATTTTAAAAGCTTCAATAAATTCCATGATTTTTTTAATAAAAAAAAAACAAACAAAGATACCAACACATTTCTCATGGTCCAAAAACGACTCCACAGGTTTCCTTTAGCAAAGTCATTGGTGAGACTTCTCCTATTAATATTCTTAGGTAACCATCTGCACTTCCTCTATAAATACTGTCAGTTAGTCTGTCTAGTGAACTTGGGGGAGGAAAGGGAAGGGGTGCATTAGTGGTAGCTCTGGTTAAAAAACACTTTGAGTTTTCGAACTGGGAAGGATTTTAACAACGAACTTCAGCCAGTTCTCACAGATAAGGAGGCGGAGTGGAGGGAGGGGGCTGAGCTCTCGTGTCCCTCGGGTGAGGCCGGGGGCCCTGGCATCCCACCTGGGGAGGGGGGCGCCACAGCAGCTTGGCAGCTTGGTACCAGTGGGTGGACAGAGTGGCAGGGACATGCCTGTTGGACTTCACTTTCCAGTTTTCCTTTCGTAAAGAGTGCTGACATAATGCTTCCTATTTCCCACTCGCATGGAAAAGGGGAATTTAGTCTTCTTCCCAGTTTTGTATGAAATACTTTGTAGATCATGTTTGACCGCAGCTAAAGCTCAGCCAGTGAGGTCTGTGTCCACCGTCATCGGAAGCTTCTCAGGAGGACCCACGCTCCCTCCCGCCTCGGTCCTGTAACCAGCGAGTGGGCCTGGGGTCTTAACACAAGGGACTGACCCTGGGGGCCCCTAGGCCACCGGACACAGAGCCCCACGTGGGTGACAATCACCTGCTGTGAGCTTTCAGGGTCAACGAGGGGGTGGAGCATCGCAAGGTCAGGCAGACAGCAGGCGGGCAGGCAGGTCTGAAGGTGGCGGGGGCGGAACGTCCCCCCACGTGGTGGGTGGCTGGATTTCCATCTCTGCGAAGCTCAAGCAGGGGCTGTCGGGCAGGCAGGAGGGGCCGGGACCCCCGGCACCTTCCTGCTGCTGGGGCTGGAGTCGGCCGGTGGAGAGTTTAAAAACCATGACTTTTTAGCCCTTTAGAGATACTTTTTAATCGGTGTTAAAGGTGAAAGGTGGCTGCGAGGCACCCAGAAGAGAAACACGCTTGCGTGACACATGGGGGCCACTGGCACTTCTAATTCTTTGGTAAGTGGTCCACCCAGCCAGCGCTGATGCCACAAAGCAGCAAACACCTGGGCCTGTTAAGCCAAAACGCCTCTGGTTTTACGTGGGACAGTTTCGAGATAAGAAGTATATCCCCCTTTCCCTGCATTTTAATGTATATTAAACATTTTAAGTGGTCGTAGGAATCTTTGCTATCTCCTCACCATCAAAAAAATGGAATCTCCTGATTAAGTCACTTTCTGTCCAGTCGTTTCTAGCCTAGCCCCCAAATCGACGTGGTTGAACCCCTCAGGCTGACCACGCGGGCGGGAAGTTGTGCAGGGCGGTCAGCTAGCGGTCAGTCTTTGAACGTCGCCTGGCACTTTCCAGGTAAAAGTCACTGCAGCTGGGAGGTGTCGGTAGTCACTAAAGAACAGAAGAAATGGATGACAGATGTTGAAACCCAGGAGGCAGTGCCGTTATCTGAAGTCGTCTTATTGGACGCTGCAGTGAGGCAGGGCTGCTTCGAGACCAGCGCTGCCCAGGGCGGCGGGACGGGTTCACAGTGGCACTTCCCTTCCTGCGTCCTTCCTGCCCAGACACCTGCCAAGTGACCGGAAGAGCCAGTGTTTCGCTGAATGCTGTTGACGCCGAGTGTGGCTAGTTTTGGACACGCTGCAGACGGCCCCGATAGGCATTTCCTACTGCGGCGTCTTCCCCTGAAGATGGAGATGGTCCAAAAGCAGCAAGCTGCATTTTTACTCTAGAAGAAAGGGAAAACTAACCACCTCAAGACCCATCAAGATACCTGGAGATATTGCTTAAATCTGAGCGGACCTTCCTTGGATAAACACCACAGGTGAACACCCACCCGATGGGCCGCGACCTCGAATTCCGCCACCTCCGTGCGAACAATCAAGGGACGTGATCCGCACACAATATTGCATCCTGCATTTTATTCATATGACAAAATAGGAACCTAGACTAGAACATCCATTTCGATCAGTAGGTGCGCTGAGCCGCGGTTTCATCATAAAAAATAGCGATCTAGGCGGCGACTCCCAGCCGGTGCGGGGGAGGTCGGGCCCCACGTGGCACCGCAGTACAAAAATAGTGTCTCTCTCCACCATGCGGAGGGGCGGCCTCGCCCCGAACGCAGGGGGTTGGTCTCACGAGCCGTCTTATTTACACACTTTACATTTTTCTGAGGTTATTTACACATCCTTTCGGGGGAAGACAGAACGCTACATGGTACCAAATACTAACAAAAAAAATCCACACCAATAAAGGACCATAAATAATAAAGACATTCAACTGCGAAGACTCAGCAGCAAGAGGCTCCCTGCTTTCTTCTCCGGAGACCGAGGGCCCCGTGTGCCCCGAGGAGGCGGGCAGCCCGAGGGGGGCGCGCGCCACCTCGCGCCCACGGACACGGCCGTGCAGCCAGCTCGGCGCCCTCTGCTGACGGAAACCCTCCCATGGTGCCCTCACGAGCCGCAGCAGTGGTGTTGGAAGATTGTCCTGGTTTCGTGTTTCAGCCGGGAAGACACCGCTGCCCGGCTCCTTCTTCGTGGCGCCGAGGCCCGCGTTGTGACCGCGTCTCTGGGATGGAGGTGCTGGGGGAAGCCCGTTGTCTCAGGCTGCCACGCACCCGCCACGCGCAACATGAGGTAGAACACACAGCCCCCGGTGCCCCCCGCCTGATCTCGGGCTGTCCTCCCTGCGCCAGAAAAGTCACCGCTCACGTCAGCATTTCACATAATCGGACGGCATTGTGCTTTGTCTCCATCTGAGAAAATAATAAATAAACCGGGAAGTGAGCGAATTTCCCAGTCGCGACTGATTTTCCTGGCAGACACTGGTATTTCTCCCAGGTTCACTGGACTCGGGAGCAGGGCCCCCAGGAGATTGCTCACACGCCTGGTCCTCACGGCGCCCACTCCCGCCGGCGCGGGACTCCTAGGACGAGCCATCAAAGTTGCGTTAGAGGGGGTCAAGTTCTCAAATGAGCGTCGCGGGAAAGTTAAATAGGTCATTTTAACGACGGACCACCAGGCCCTCGGGGACTGAGGAACCAACAAGTCTCGGTGGCTTTTCTGTTTAAGTAGCAAAGATTTCTCATGTTGTCTGACCTTAAGACAAAACAAGAAACAGTAACAGGTTTGTTTTTTTTCTTCATTTTCCTTAAATCAGGACTATGTATAAAATACTTTACATCTTTTTAAATCTTCAAATTATAGACAAACTTCCTAATACAAAATACTAAAAGTGCAACAGTATAAATTAAGAGTTTGCAACCACATTATACAAACATTTCCTCTTTATTGTACAGCTTTGATGCGCGAAATATTGACTCACAACGGTGTGTAACGCGGTGGCCAGTGCGCAGTGCCGCTGTCTGCCACCAGCACCCAGACCACACGAGAGAACAACCGCCCACATAGCAGCTACAAACATTTAAATTAAAAAAAAAGAACAAAAACAAAAACCAAAGGCTTGTTACTGACAGGTACTTGCACACAGAAAGCATGCTGTCTTTCCCAACAGAACTTCACAATTTACCTGCATCAAAGGAACCCACTTATTTATAGCAAAACAAATCTCGCTTAAAAAAAAAAAAACCCGCACAGCTAGAGGTGAAACCCACACAGCTGCAGCGCAAAAACTACCTTTGAAGTTGGGGCTGTATCATCGGTTACCCGCATAATCGTCACATTATAAATACTACAGACAAAGGTACGGTCGGGGGCACGGAGGACGGGACTGCGCCTCCAGGACGAGAGTTCTGAACACGAGTCCAGTGTCTCACGACTTCACAGGACTGTCACTGGAACGCCGTGGGGCACCCTGGCCCCATGCCCGGGACGGCTGGGTGTCGGGGCAAACGGAAGGGGCACCCACTGAGCCCTTTCGGGTCCCAGGGGCTCCTCCGTGTGGACTCCCATCTGTTTAGAAGGCTGGAGAATTCTGAAGAACAGTCGCGCTCACCGAGAAACGGACCATGCAGCGCTCGCACGGGGCCCCGCGGCGGCCGCGCGGTCTGTGCACGCTCTGCTGCGGGGCGGTGTGAAGGAGGCCCCCTGGGCACGGCAGTGCGCATCCTGACGGCCACACGTCACCACGTGCAGGAGGGACAGAGGGGGCGGACAGGCCGCCGGGGGCGAGGCTAGTTGATCCCGATCTCCTTGTTGTCCTCGAGGAACCTGGTGAAGGGCCGGCTGGCCACCGCGTCGGAGCCGGCTTTGTCCAGGCCCACCACGGGCGGGCTGCTGCCCGTGCGCGCCTTGTCCATGCCGGCGGCCAGGGAGCCCAGCGGGGGCATGGCACTCCCGCCCAGGCTCACGGGGAGCGGGGGGAGGCCTCCGTTCTGGATGACGGAGATCTCGTTGTTCTTCATGGCCAGGCCGTTGGTGATGGCCGCGGCGTACTGGTTCCAGAAACCAGGGTCCACGTTCATGGCTCGTGCCGCCAGGTCCTTCTGGAACATTTCTGAGAACTTCAGGGCGTCACCCCCCAGCAGGGCCATGGGGTTCTCCACCGACAGGCGGCGGCCGCGCCTCGCGGGGGCGTTATTCCACATGTGTGTGCCCATGTGCACCTGCGCGGGAAACATGGGAGACACCCACGTGAGCCACACAAGGCACGGACCCCAGACGCACACCCAGGTGGCTCTGCACGCCGTGACTTGCTCAGGGCTGGCTTCTGTCCCCACCCGAGCCAGTCCTCAGTGCGGGGCCAGGGGACATCGGGAACCAGACCTCCCTGAGCTGTCTTGCACAAGACGTGTGTCTTTTAACCAAATAGAAGCGAAGCCCGTCAATGCCTGAGTGTTTCTTCCAGCTCAGGAACTCGGCAGAATGCTCTTCCCCGCAGGGCCCAAGACTCGCGAGAAGCCTCAGAGGGCGTCCCCGGGGGCAGGGCCGCGGGCCTCTCCTTCCCCCGAGGTCATCGCCTCTGTGTCTCTGTGCTGGGAGAGGCCACAGCACTGGCCTTTTCACTTTAGAGAGGCCACGGAGACCCCAGCAGGCACCTGACCTGGGGCTGAGCGGGAGCCTGGTCCACAGGTTTCATCTGGCACCTGCTGCCCGCGCCCCGGACCCTCACCGTGAACTCAGGGCCCCACGGTGTGCACCGGCCCTTGGCTGAGCAGTGGCCCCCCAAACTCCCGCAGCCTCTCGGGGACCACAGGACAGGAGGCAGGACATGCCCTGGCTGGGCAGCAGTGTCAACGCCCAGTGCTTCCCGCCCCGGCGTCCAGACACCCGCGCGGGCCCGACACCCCCGCCAGCGGCCCACACGGCACAAGCCCTGGGGGGAGGCGAGGCCCTCTACAGCCAGAGAACACACACAACGAGTGTGAGCAAACAGCACACGCCTGAGTGAATGTGAGCACACGCACATGAGTACACGTATGGCGCAACAGAGACGTCACAGACTATGCACACACCACACACGTGTGCACACATACCAAACTCACCCACATATAACGTACGTACACAGGAGCTCGACACACACTACAGATGCAAACATGCATCATGCTCACCTGTGCCCGTGTACCCCACCCCCACGTGCGCACACCCACTCACATCCACACCCTGCCACACGTGCATACAGTCTGCATGCATGCACACACATGTACACGCCCCTACACGCACACTCGTCCACACGACACACAGTCACGCCCTTGCACACTGGCATGGGCTCCCCAGCAGCCGGCCCCCCCACCTCCCCGCCCCGGACCACAGCCGCAGCTTCGTCTGCCCCATCTCTGGGGGGGTCCGACTCAACCGTGTCCCCAGGGCTGGCAGCAGCCGCCTGGGCCCTCACCTTGAGGTTGCCCTTGGTGGTGAAGGCTCTCCCGCAGACGGTGCAGCCAAACGGCTTCTCCCCGGTGTGCGTGCGCTCGTGGATCTGCAGGGCGCTGGCCGAGGAGAAGGTCTTCCCGCACGACTGGCAGTTGTGCTGTTTGGGGGTCCGGCGTGGTGGGGGGGCCAGCATGGGCGCCAGGCCGGGGCTCATCACGGCCTGCGGCCCGGCTGCCACGTGGACGGCGGCCGGCAGTGGCGGGCCCTCGCCCAGCGTGACGGCCTTGCCGTGCCCATTCATTTCCATTTTGATCAGGGCGGGCGCGGAGCCGGCGACCCCGGCCACCCCGGCCACCCCGGCGACCAGGCTTGGACCGCTCTGGCTGGGACCTAGAGCAGAGTTGGGGCCAAATAACGGAGAAGGCAGCTCTTTCAGCCTGTGGGTCAGCAAGTGCTGCTTTAAGTTACCCACAGTAGAGCACCCGCGCCCGCAGACCGCGCAGACAAACGGGCGCTCCTTGGTGTGGCTGCGGTGGTGGATCTGCAGCGCACTCCTGCACGCGAAGGGCTTGCCGCAGACGGGACACATGGCGCGCTCACACTTACCGCGATCCCGGCTCAGGAACAGCAGGCTAAAGGGGGCCTCCTCCTTGACCGCCAGCCGGCCGGGGTGGGCGGCCGTGAGGTCCAGCGCGCCTCCGTTCTCGGGGGCGGGGGGCGGGCTGTCCGGCCTCTCGGTCTTCAGCGGCACGTCCGGCGGCTCCTCGTGGCTGCTGAGGCCCGGGGACTTGGAGGGCAGGCTCTCGCTGTGGCTGTTGGCAGGGGACAGCACCTGCGCGGAGGAGGACGACTCGGACAGGGCCGGGCTGCCCGCGCTGCGGCTCTCCAGGTCGCCCGCGGCGGACGAGGAGTCGTTGCTGAGGCGGTCGCTGTCCCCGGACCCGCTCTCCGCGGTTTTGGCGGCGGCCAGCGGCGGGCAGCTCATGACCGAGTCCATCATCTTCATCTGGTTCTCCAGCGCCGCGATGCTGGAGATGACGGACGGGGGCGAGGGCGGGCAGGAGGCCGGGCAGGGCCGCAGCGCGTCGGCCGGGGCGCCGGCCGCGTCCTCCTCCACGGAGTTCTCGTCGGCGTCGTCCTCGAAGCCGCTCAGGGCCTCGGCGGCCTTGTCGTCGCAGGGGAGCTCGGCGTCCATGGCGTCCTGCAGGCCGTCGGGCAGCGGCGTGTTGGGGATCTGGCCGCCCATGTGCATGCGGATGTGCTGCTGCAGGACCACCGCGTTGGTGAACTTCTTCTGGCAGATGGGGCAGGAGTGCTGCACCCGCAGCGGCGGCTTCGCCCGGTGCACCCCGAAGTGCGTCTTCAGGTTGCCCTTGGTGGTGAAGGCCCGCCCGCAGATCTTGCACTTGAAGGGTCGCTCCCCGGTGTGCGTGCGGTAGTGCATCTTGAGGGCGCTCTGGCAGCTCAGCACCCGGTGGCAGATGACGCACTGGTTGGGGTCGGTCATCTTCTTGTCGATGTTCTCCACGAGCTGCTGCAGCTTGGATGTCTCTGACGTCTGCATGGAGTCGAGTAGCCCTCCAAAAGGAAACTTGGCCTTGAACTGCTCGGAGCTGGCCGCAAGGACCGGGCTGCAGAGGCCAGCGGAGAGGCTGTTGTCTGCGAGGGCGGCGGCCGACGTGGACGTGGCGGAGACCTGCACGCTGGCAGGGACGTCCCCCGGCCTAGCACTTGCACAGGGCAGGCTCACGGGCTCGGTTTTGGTCAGGGAAGACACGCCAAGTGCAGGCTGCGGTGACTCGGCGGTCACTAGGGCACCGGACTCGGAGCTGTTCAGGCCGGGGGACAACGAGGGGCACTCGCTGGAGGCGGGCGAGGGCCGCTGTGGGGAGCGGCTGACCGGGGTGAGGCTGGGGGAGTCGGCGTAGCTGCCTACGCCAGGGACCGTGGGTGGCAGCTGCAGCCCCACCGACGTGGGCACCGTGGACAGCACGGGCTTGCTGTCCAGCCAGGTGGTAACCGGCTTTTCTGGGGGCAGGGACATGCCGTAGGGAATCCCGGAGCAGGTGGGCACGTTGTCCAGGTACTCGGGCACGGGGTAGGGGTTCATCTGGATGTGGGGGTACTTCTCCTTGTGCCTCTGGAAGTGCACCTTCAGGTTGCCCTTGGTGGAGAAGCGGTTGCCGCAGATGTTGCACTTGAAGGGCCGCTCGCCGGTGTGGGAGCGCAGGTGGATCTGCAGGGCACTGTCGCTGCCAAAGACCTTGGCACAGAACCTGCACTTGTGCTTGAAGAAGGGGTCCTCGGCGCTGGCCTTGGGCTCGAACACCGACACGTTGGGGGGCTTGCCCTTGCGGTGCTTCAAGAGGGCCGACAGAGGGTCCAGTGCGTTGGCCGTGGCCGCGATGCTGACCAGTGGGTTGGGGAAGATGACGCTGCTGGCAGAGGTCTGAGGTAGCAGAGGGTTTGGCAGACTGGGCGCCGAGCTGAGCAGTGGGCTGGGCCCCAGGGTGGGAGGCGTGGGGGCTTTCTGCGGAGGCTGTGAGGCACTGCCAGGGGCGCTGGCCACGGAGGCTGGGGCAGTGCCGGCCGTCGCCACACTGGAGGATGCCGGCCCACCAGACTCGGGGGCTGCAGGGCCCCCACTGGGGACATGTGGGGTGCTCACCCCAGATGCAGGCTGTGACAGTGGCTGGGGGCCCTCGTAGGCTGTGGTCTGGGTGGCGGAGCCTGGCGGCGTGGGGACAGGAATGGCCCCGGAGGGCAGCTGCAGGGCAGAGTGGGTGGCCAGCCCGGGGAGCTGGCTGGAGGTGGGCCCCGGGGTGCTCTGGGCCCCGGGGGCGGCTCCCGGGTTCAGCGGCGGCCTCAGGGGCTGGCGGCTCATCATGGCCACCTGGCTGCGGATCTGCTCGATGAGCTGCAGCTGGTGAATCTGCTGCTGCTGCAGCGCCATCAGCTGCTCCAGGATCATGGGGATGGCCGCCGCCGTGACCCCGCCGCCAGAGCCCGCCGCGCCCGCGGCCCGCGCACTCTGGGAGAACTGCGCCACCGCCACCTTGGTGCTCAGCAGGGTCTCCAGCGTCACGTTGGTGCTCGGCATGCCGTAGGTGGCCACTGGCACCGGCTCGGGGGCCGGTGGTAGAGGCGGCTTCCCCGGGAGCGAGGGCCCCGGGCCCTGGAAGCCCTTGTCCGTGGTCGGGGGCTCCACATCCATGGGCTCCTCCTCCTTCTCCGGGGCCCTCACCTCGCCACCCTCCCCGCTCTCTGGGGGGGCCGCCTCCTCGGGAGCCTCGCTCTCTGTCTGCTCCCCGGGAGAGCTGGCGGGAGAGGGTTCCGGAAACTCCTCCGAGGCCGGGGCCGGCTCATCCTCGTGGACGATCAACACCAGCGGGTTCTTGGTGCAGACCCTCTTGTGCCGCAGGAAGTCCGTCCACTTGAAAAACTCGGCACAGCACTTGTCACACACGCTGGTCTCCTCGCTGCCGCTCCTGCTGTCTCGGCCGCTGTCACCGTCCTCGGCGCCGTCCCCGGGGGCCGCTGCGGAAACCGAGAGGCTGCGTCAGCCACGACCGGCCACACCGCCCGCCCTCCACGGCAAGGTTTTGCACATACATAAAATCAATATTTTTTATTTTGTACAAATTACCCCACTTCAGCGTTTCTGACACCCGGCGCACGTGCTCCGTGGCCCTTCTAGCTAGCTAATCATTTTCTTAGCGCAATCCATCAAATTATGAGGCTCTATCAATTGTGGATACTGCTTCTTAATGAAATTCCATAGAAGCCATTGATTTCCAATATTTTCATACCATCCACGGCCGCCCTGTCTGTGGGTGCAAAGCCAGCTTTCGATGGGCTCATTAGGATTCTCCCTACCGTCCGGCCTCCTCGTTTCCAGCAAAATTAGAGATGCCTTTGCCAGTTCACTTAACGTTGCTAAACTAATCTGCAACCTTTCAAACTCGCGTCAGCCCCTGACAGCGAGCCGGCCGCCGCCTCCCCGGCTCGGCCTCGGAGGTCTGTCGTCTGTACACAGCGGGAGACATCACAGGTTTAGTGTAATTCTGCAGAGCCTTGCAGGCCAACGGGCACTTATCTCATGCAGGAAATTTCGGCCAAATACTTGCATTTGTAAACGTAACAAAGAAAATACAGCACTTCTCTCCTCTCTGCTCAAAAACTGCCACCTCCCCCGCCCGCCGGCGACGTGCCGACCGACTCAGCCCTCTGAGGGGTCCTTTGGGACCAGGCACACGCCCACGGTGAGGGTCTGCCAGGTGAGTCCCACAACGCGGCCTGGGCCTGGGGTCAACTGTGTTTCATACAATTAGCTCTGTCACATGCAGTATTTCTTGGGGAAAGGAACCAAAATTACATGTCGCTGTTATCAGCCAATAGTGTTCGGCGGTCTGCTGGCAAACTAGAAATTATATATTTAAAGTTCATTTATGTTGACATGTTTCACACGGGGACGTTGCCGTCCGACGCACTCTGTGCACCTATTTTCATCTGTTCTCATAGAAAGACTTCGCAAATTATATGCTTGCGCCATAGTGGGAAACCTCTAATTGGTTACACATGTTTAATTACTGTTGCAGGCAGCTACTTCCTGACTTCCCTAACCCTCTTGTGCCGAATAACAACCGCGTTTAATGAACAATTCTAATTCACACCTGATCAAATAAATGGCCGAACAGGAACAAGGAGTCAACACACGCTGACATTGCTGGCCCCCGTGTTTTGGACAGTGGGGGCGAAAGGTAATGCTCAGTAATTACTCAGCTCCGTGTGCCGGCCCGCACGGCACTGACGCGTGACTGCTCTTTGTCAACTTACAGATGAGTGACAGCCGCACTCGGTTCCGCAGAAATGACAGTGGAAAACTGGCCCTTTGTCCCCACACAGAACTGAGTGTGAGAACACCCCCTAAGTTTGTGCCCCGGAAAAAATTTACCGTTATTTCCTCTACAAGTGCACTTGCTGAGAAGTCTCCCTGCTTTTTCTTGTCGGGTTTGGAGAGAAGAATTAATTCGGCCTGATTTCAGTGGAAAAATCGGATGTTTAAAAAAATATCCTGTAAAAAACATTCGTCCCTTCGCTGGACAAGAAAATAAAAATATCTTTCAAGGCTGGCCTGCTTGCTGCTCTCCACGAGGCCATTACTGCCGGGTAATTTATACATGCCTTTAAAAAATTATTAGCAGTGTTCAATTAGCATTTTCTTAACTGGCTAAACCATGTGAAGGGGAAAAGTTAGAGCTTGCAGCCCATAAAGGCCTGCTGGACTTTTAAACTAAAGTCGGGCTGACGACCTGAGCGGAGGAGTCTCATTACTGGAGGGAAGGAATGTGATACGTGCAATAATGAGGTTGAGTATCGCTGGGAGCAAAGACAGCCGATTTATGCTGCAGACAGGCACCTTAGCAAAACAAATACTCCAAGTGCCAAGCTCTGCTCCAGGTATGCAAAATCTAATTGTCCACCTGCGAAGGTCACGAGACAGGGCAAAACCCAAAACACTGGACTCTTCGGATAAATAATTTCTTAAAGATCTATACGTATGGGCTGTCTCAAATTCCAGTGGTGCATTAAAAAAAAACTCATCATGCAATGCACACAATCTCTACGTTCAAATTCCTGACGGGAGCGGAAGGCTCTGCGGGGCCCCGAAAGCCTGTCTGCAGCGAGTCAGTGTCCTGCGCCACAGATGTTAGCACTCAACACGGAGCCGAATTCTTAAAAGTTCTTTTCCAATATGTTAAAGCTATGAGCCAAAGGCCTGCCGCCATCCTCACATAGGTTTTTATTTCACTACTTTTTAAAAAGAATACGAAGAAATTCATTCTGAGATTCTCTCCACCTTTAAGTCCTAAGTGGAGATGACATGTTCTGCCTTTGGCATGATGGACACATTCACACGGCACGTCCCTTGATCATGCGTGTCCCACTCAGAGACTGCTTCATGTGCAACACATGTTGGGGACAATTCACTGAGAGCGTGCTGAACAATTAGCTTTGTTTCTGGACCATTTTTAGCATGCCGACTGTTGGAAGACCTAACTTAACTGTAGGTAAATTACACTTTCTCAAAGGGCATTTCCCCGATTTTCTTTGTAGAAAACTAGGGCGTGAAATGGGGCGAGGACTTTGGTCCCACACTGTACTTTCCCCCCACGTTCTTCATCGACCCGAACAAATCCACAGAAAGGCGCATTTTCCCATTTCCATGGTTTTTCATGGGTTAAGTATTTTTAGGGTTCACCTCCAGGTTCATGGAACTGGGAACTGTTCCTACGGGCGAGCTCCTTTCTTTCCAGTGGCAGGTTCTTAACTGTAGAAACTTTCTACCAAATAAGTCACTTTATGATAAGTGATGATGACCTAAACACAATGAAGATATTCTTGTCGAAGTCACGCTCCTTCTCCTTACGCTCCTTTAAAATTGAAAAAAGCAAAACCGAAGAGAGGAAGTCGTGTGAAAACGGCATTCCCACTGTCTGGATCCAGTAGCAGCCATTACTGTCGAGGAACCTAATGAAATAGAGGGTTGCCAGGTTTCACACGCAAAGTTTCAGATGAAATTTGTCTTTTGCTTACAATGCATACATATAAAAAACTACAATTAGTGAAGGGAAAAATTCTTCAATACAATCGTCTTCTAGACCATTTCTTATTTTGGACGAATAATTTAGAATCACCACTGACATATATGTTTTGTACTGGGCTTTGCATAACAGCCCATGACATGGCCAGTTCTGTCCTCACTTGCTCAAGCTGTGACTGTTTTCCTCTCAAAAGCCAAGTGTTCAAGCTTCCCCTCAAAGTTGCAGAGAAGCACAAATGCTGGAGAACAGTTCTGAGTAAAATGTGTTCAAATAAAAATGTCCCTAGAGCACGGCGGGATTCGAATTTCGGGCGCATGTTTTAAGAATGTTGTTGAACAATAACTTCCACCGGGTTGATTGCTAGGAACTCCGAGAACGAGCCCATTTTTACTGGGGACGGGGCCTTTGAAGTGGCGACTCCAGAGCAGGGCGCAGGCCCAGGCTTCTGCCACACTCGGAGAGGGGGACATAAAATACGTCGTTACAACCTGATGGCTCTTCTCATTCCAGTGACGAAATGTATCGTGTTACCGTGTGCATGTGCTAATCTGGCAGAATTTATTCATCTCAGAAAATGCTTTCTGTAGTGAGGAGACACGTGTGGGAAAAACCCGGACACGGGTCCCAACATGGACACACCCCCCCAAGCCCTCTAACCCGGCCATTGTTTTAAGGTGATATTAAGCCGGATTCAGATGCAGTCAACCGTCTTTTAATTAAATTTACATTGTAACTGGCCTCTGTGCTCTAGAAATAGAAGTTGTTATCTCCATTAGTTAATATGGCTTAACTTTTTAATTTCAGGGTGGAAGGGGGTCCATGAACCCCTGCCCCAAGGGTAGAAGTCCGAGAGATTTATTTTTGACGCAGTTGGAAGTTTTTACTTTTGCGGGGGTGGGTGTTGAAAAACGAGCACCTCGAACATTATCACAGACAAAGCAGTTCGTCCTGACTGTCCAGCGACTAAGATTTCAAACTGCGAACACACGAGGCTGAGGCGGGAATTCAGTGTGTAAGGGTGACATCGGAACACGCGACAGACAACTGCCAGCCCCCCACCCCCAGCCTCTGTCGTGGGCGGGGGAAGACACTGTCCAGGTGACTACCCCTCTCCGCGCAACGTGTGAGAAAAGGCTGCCTGGGGCGGGGCGGGGGGACAGTCCACCTTGTGACATCCCACCTGAGCACCCCCCAGGTCCGGCACCGGACTCCGTCTCCTGAAGCCTCAGGAGGGAGGACACAGGTGTGCGGAGGCCACCTCAGTGGCAGAGGAAATGCAGAGTCAGCTCACAGCCGTCCCTGCGCTGGCCCTTCGCACCTGAGATTTTCCCCGCGGCACCCCACTCGGGCCTGAGCAAGGCCCGTGTGCCTCACATGCTTAGAGGAGGAAGCGGGCCCCATGCCCTTGCAGAGAAAGTCCCCAGCGGAGGGATGGCTTCAGTGACCGTCTCACAGACACAGGGCTTTATCTCTTCTCGCTAACAGAGCACATGGAGAGTGTTTAACAAAAATGTCCCTCTTCTTAGGATCAACTCTCTCAGTGTGAAGGGATCTCCTCCCTCAAACTCCCCCCCAACAAACACAAAAAACCAAGCCCCCCACTGTCCCACAGGGCTCCCAGCTTCCTTCCCCGCTCTGTTACATAAGAGACACGATCATGTCCTCACTGTCCCCTGCAGAAGGCAGACTGTCCACACACACAAGGATCTTTTCTGAGGCAAGGGAAAAGCATTGTTGCCACACATATGATACAAAAATATTGCAGGCATCAAGCTTCCTTTCAGAATCTCCAACTACAGGGTTCTGGCTTGGCTCTCTCATTTCCTCTTTGCAGGGCCTGGTGGGCATGCTAACCGGTCACAAAGAAGTGACACGCAGGCCTTTCCGGGCCGCGCCCCTGCGCCTCCAGAGCTCGCCTTCCCTCCGCTCCAC